GTTCATCTTTTAACCCAAGGACAGCCCTCGGATGCACAAATCAAGAATGTTAGGTAAGCTTGTGTGCCTATTTCCCTAGCATGTTGCTAATCAGCCACAGCAAAATAGAGGGGCTACTTCCAGCAAGGGTATAGTAACATAAGTTTTAGCCAACAAAGGAGGAAGATTAGAAAGGTATTAATGGTACACAATAGGCTAGACAGTTTAATTGAAACAGATAAATCACTGGAATCCATCAAGATAACAATTACAGCATTTACTTGATATCTAGATGCCTATAAGTCATCAACAAACTCACTTTGTCCAATATATCCTATTAGTGTCTTAAGAAATTATGAATCTTTTAAAAGATTCTCAAGGGTACAGTTAAAGATTTTAAGTTTTACTTAAAACCAGGAAGTTGCAATAAATTGTAAAGGTCTTTTAGGTTGTATAATTTAGTTCTTGGGAATACCAGATAAATGGAGGTATTACTCTAAGAATTAAAAGCATCATTTTGCATGATGAATTGAGTTGACAATTTTTTGTGTGAGATTGTTTCTTTATTTTTTTGAACATCCAAAATTTGTAGGCATTGTATCTGGTTTCCAAGTCTCTGACCTTTCCTAATTGCTTTAGGTGGATCCTGTCACTGAGGTAGTTTTTGATAATCTCTAATTCTATTTTCTTTAAAAAAAAACAACTTCTATTTACTTTTAATACACAATATCAAACTTACTTATCTGTAACACAGTATATCACTAAGAATGAAATCATTGCTTTCCTATAAAGCAAACATTCTTCCCAGTGTCTGTGCAGTTGTTTATACTCAATTTTTTTTTCAGTGCTAGGGATTGACCCCAAGGAATTGCACATGCTTGGCAAATTATAATTCATTTTTATAGTTGCTATTTGATTATAGTTGAAGACTAGCCTCTGGCTACTCTGTGAATAATTGCCAATGAATTGATTTAGGGGCTTTGTTACATGCTCTAATTTAGTGCTAATTTTTATCCTTAAACCCATCCATTTATTTTTAATATACTTTATTGTTAAAAGTAGTTTTACATTTATAGAAAATTTGACAATAGTATATAGTTTCAACCTACCTGGCACCTACTTTCCCCTACTTACATCTTACTTCAGTATGGTCCATTAGTTATAACTAATAAATTGATCTTGACACATTATTATGATGATGATGATGTTATAGATATATCTCATTAGGCTTCTCTTGTCTGAAAACCTTTTCAGACTTAGTTCTGATAATCTTGACAATTTTGATAATTAATAGATTTAAGTATTTTGAAGAATGCATCACTATTGAAATTTGATGTTTTTCTTATGGTTAGACTGGGATTTGGGGTTTAGAGGTATTAAAGTGGCATTTTTATCAAATCATCAATAGTATACACTATCTATAGAATTCATTGATTACCTTGATTACCTGTCAGTGAAGTTCCTTTTCTCCCTTTACTCCCATTTAGAAAGCTCAACAGCAATTATCTACATAAATTATTTGGAATTTTTCTGTACAGGAGATTTCTCTCTTTAATTATTTAATTACTTATTCATTCCCATGGACTAATAGTATTTATTTTATAGTTTCTGTTATAATCTGATACCACTCTATTTTGTCGCTCCAATTATTCCACATTTGGCCCCTGGAGCTCTTTTAGTTAGCTTCCACATCCCTTTGGCAGACATGTATGGTGTTTTTTGTTTCTTATCACTTCCTTACTTTGCAGCATTACAAGATGCTCCAGGTTCATCTGCTATTTTTTTCTTTTTTTCTTTCTAGAATCAGCCATTTCTCCAAGGAGTAGGGCTAATTTTTTGAAATATGATGTCATGTGTTAACTAAGGGCCTTAGCTAAGGCCACGTCAAAGTCAGCTGGGAAATATTTACTAATGGTTCTCGGACAACCACCACCACACCTAAACTGTGTGGCAGGTTAGAAAAGATATGCACACACGCACAGCAGCCACAACACGTTGGCATTCCTGCTTGGTCCAGAGATTCAGACAGCCTGTTATCTTCATTCCTTCTTAAACATTGTTATGAGTGATATGACAGACAGGCTAATTGCAGATGAGAGAAAACAAACCCAAACATTTTAGCTCCAAATCATCAGTCGTATTGTGTGAGGAAAAGACTCTGATTTTATGGACCTTGCTTTTTGTGGGTACACTCCAAGAAACAGGTAAAATCAAAGTGGTATCTTGCTGGATCATCAAATGTCTTTGATTCTGGTTAGGGCAGGGTGGTTTACAGAAAGAATCAGTTTTCATTATAGCTCAACAGGAAAAGATCTTATTTTCAAAGTGAAACCATGTTTGATAAGTGAAGAATTTACTTAAAAATAAATGAAACACACAAGAAATGTTGTATAGGAAGAGCTCATTTCAAGCTACAGCTCAACATCTGAAGGTGAAGGGTCCTCTATCATTACTGGTAATATAATGTGAAATGATGGTATGGTTTGCTAATTAAAACTGCAGTAATAGTAAATTAGCACTAATGGGTAGTTCCTTAACCAACAGTTTAAAATGGCTTTATTTTTATTTTTATTTTTATTTTTTTTTGTCTGTTCGTTTGGTTCTGTTCTGAGAAGCCATTGAATCAGGAGCTGGCTCCTAAGGGAAAAGCTCAGCTACTCGCCATTACTTCTCACTCCATCCCAAAGAAGAAATAAAATCCTGGATCAGCCAGTTTCAGAAAACTATACCCATATTTGTTCTCTTTTTGAGATTTTGTCACTTGAGATTTTTCTTGGATTTTAGGCCATCAGACTGGAAGGTAGGAGGCACTTCCCAGGCATAGTTAGGTTTGACCATCTTAGTTTTGGGCTCTCTATTTTCTGGACCCATCAGAAGGACCTGTAATTTATTCATTCAGGTCTACCCTATGAAGACCTGCAGTGAACAATCTGAATCAACTCTTGCTTATGTATTAGGAAAAAAATATATTTTTCTCTTTAATGGCTGCTTTTCTCTTCCTGTAACTTGAATTTCCTTTGAAGTAAGACTTAGAGGGTGAAACTGTGAGTGTGAGCTTAGGAAGAAACAGACATAGGAAACCTCTTGGCCTCTGGTGTCTCAGTCCACCTAAATATCAGAAACAGGGCAACCTATAAATGAGAGAAAGTTATTTCTCATAGTTCTGTAGGCTGGAAAGCCAAAGATCAAGGCTTGGCAGATTCGGTGAGGGCTGGCTTCCTTGTTCATAGATGGCCATTTTTTTACTGTGCCCTCACATGACAGAAGGGGTAAAGAAGCTCCCTGGGTTCTCTTTTTAAAAGTAGACTAACCCCATTTATGTGGATTCCATCTTCATGATCTAATCACCCCTTAAAGGTCCTACCTCTAAACACTATCACGTTTGGAAATTAGGTTTTGGCATATGAATTTTTGGGACACACATTCTGTTTTAAAGCATTTGGTTTTTTTAGACTTGATTCTACATACTGCAAAAGATGTCCTTTATATGGTTTAATCCATTCCAAAAGATTATATCAGACACTGGGGACAAAAGCATCATAGCAATAAAAAGCAGGTCTTAACTTGGCTTTGAGTCTAGGAATTTAATTTGGTGTAGAGGGTGGGGCAGGTAGAGAAATATGTGGACAATGTCATGACAGAGTTCAAGAATTTGGACTTGGAGTCCATTATCCAATGTCACCTGACTACCAAGATAGATACGAATTATTATACAACTCAAGTATTTTGTGTAACCAGAGGTGTGTACTTTATAACATTATAGTAAATGTTAGTAATGTGACTAAGATCTATGAAAGTAATATACATTTTTCTGATGATTTTTTTGAAACTTACTTTTTTTTTTCTTACTATATGAAAAACTAGTGACTAAACATCTCAGGAAGTTCCACCAAATCAAGGATTTTTAAATAACCAGACTAAGAAAATATACAAAGTATGTGTGTCTCAAATGTTAAATCTTTATCAGATGCTCTTATTTCAATTTATTCTTATGATTCTAATATTTATTTTCTCGACAAAGAGGAAAGCATGAAGAGGAAATCTTTATTCCATGATTTAAGGATAAAACAATTCGGCATGCAAGACTTCCTGGGATGATGGCAATTAAGCATTACTACATATTCACTAATTAAGTGGGTTTTACATTAAAAGAAAATAATAAAGCAGATAAATTGGCCATAATAAAAGCACACTAAGGTCAAAGAACATGAGGGGAATATTATGACACAAAACTCAGAATGTCAGTGTCATGAATGCAATATCTTGCTTCAATGTTAATGTCAAATTTTAGTCAGTTATAGAAACTGGATCTTCCGCTTTAACTGCTCTCATGCACCATGAAGCTGATTTCTAATATATAATGTCAAATGAAGAGTTTAATGGTATATCTGTTCCATAAAATCTTAACAGTGATCCTCTTAAATCATATGAATTATCATGAGTTGGTTTTCAGAAAGAAATAGACCATTTCGAATATATTTTTTAGTGATTGACTGCCCTTGTAGTATTTATTCACCGTTTTTCTTTCCCCATATTTTCCTGTTAACTGCCACATCTTAGTAACACTTTACTTATTTGGTCAATTTATTTACACTATCAATAATCAAGTATAAAAGACAGTGTTATTAAATCAAGGGTTCCAAATGCGTCACCTGCAAGGAAACTCAACCAGGAGACATGGTTGGTTTGATCCACCCAATATTTTAAAAAATACTGGAAATATCATATAAAAATTATATTCTAGGTTTCTCTTGATAAAGCAGAACACCTTTCAATACCACCTGAATTCCATGTGACTAAGATCTGTTAGAGAAAACTATTTCAATGCCTCTTGAGGTAAGCCCCACTAGTTTTTTGCTTATACCCAGCCAATTCCACTCATTGAATACCTACCTGGTTACCTACCCATAGGCTTGTGAATATGTGACCCTTAGATTAAACCCTGAGACCTTTCTCCCTACTTTTGTTCTCCTCCCTCCTGAGTTTTTCTTCCCCAAAAGTATGACAGAAAAGTCATAACCTATTTTTTAAAAGAAGATTTATTTTGGATTAAGTGATTTCATGATGTAACATGGTTTTAAACAAAAATAGAGATCAGTATGAAAATAAAACAAATTGTACACATTAAAATATCTTTACCTTAAAGCATTTCAGAATCATAAAAAATACAACACAAGAGTCAGGGGTCCTGGTGAGGATAAGAATACAGACTTCCCAGAAAATGAGCAACTAGTCCAGGATTTGGAGTCTTAGGCTCCATATAATATCACCCACATACCATTTCTAGGATGTCAATAATCTGTATTATTTGCTTTGAAAAAAAGAAAAGAAATTTAAATGTAAGATGAAATGAGAGCTGTATAATCTTAATTCTAATAGCAAATATCTCCCATTATTATTCTCTATTAAAAGTCGCATTGAATAAATATGAAGCTTAAATCAACTCAACAAAAATAAAAACATTGCTATGAACTGTGTTGCATGGTGTAGTGGACATAATGGGTGGGATTAGTGAAGGAAATGAAAAGCCTTAAAAAAATACACCACCTGTGCTCTACTGAAATTTTAGAAATAAATGTTTTTGTTTTTGTTTTTTTTACAGAGCCTTAATATTAAAAAGTAAGCATTATTATAAAATTAGATTAATACTTTCAGTAAGAGGCAAGAGAGATGCATGTATTTTATTCATTTATTTTGGAATGCCTGCATCCCTATTATAAAAACATGTAATCTTATGCACTTTCCAACATTTAAACGGCCCCAAATTTTACTTATAATATCGTATAAAGAAAAATAGGTTGTAATTACATCTTTTAGAGCATCAAGGTCCTAAAAGAACATTCAGTCCTGTGTGTTTCCTGGTTAATCCTTCCAAGGTATTTCTTGAACATCATCCATCCTTTTTTACAGAAGGTGACAGTAACCAGAAGTTTACTGATGGTTCCTTACCTGCATCAGTAATAGCTGATTCAGTTTGAATCATACAACATGCTTAACAACACTCCTCAGGGTGTAATATCTCAAAAGAAAGTTGGATAGAAATATATCACCTGCCCAAGGCCACTAGACATAAAAATCACAAACACAAGTGTGATTCTCCTGTTTTCCAAAGAAACCATATAACTGCGACCATCCTATTCTGCTGGGCTATTGAATCATGAAAGCCAAATAAAGTACCTTGCAGATAAAAACCTAAGCAAATGTATGTCTAGTCTTGATTAACTTATTGAATTAGAAACGCTGATTAGGTCTTTACTTGCAACTCAGTAGCCTCACTTATGATTTTGCTTTCTAGATAGATTAACAGGGAACATTTAAGTTGTCACTGGGTACCATGAAAATGTTCTAAAGCCTATTCTGATGTCAAAGAATGTCTGAAAAAAAAAAACCCACAAATTAACCATAATGAAATAAAAGCATCTTTGTTTTATTTCATATAGTGTTTGATAGTAGTAACAATAACTCCTAAATCTAAAAGATCCACAACATAATTGAATGCAAAATAGTTGAATCTCCTGATTAAGCTATGGTTAATGTTAATGTTTTGGGGCTAAATTCCTTTTTTCAGTACAGAAAATGTTAACTTATTGAAGTTATAAAATGAGGTTATTTCCTACCAGGTAGATTCCTAAGCAGTGCCTTAATTAGGCAGCAAATCATTCTCATTCTCAAAGAAACCTAACTGTAGTATGATCCTGCCCCCACCAGCATGCTCTAAGATGATTTTTCCACCCTTGTTAGTTTCCTCAGCTACTATAATGGGCAGCTCACGAATTCATTCTGTCCTTTATGCCTCCCTTGGAATGCAGTTAAGGGCCCTGAATCTTAAGAGTTGGTCAACAATTAGCCTTACATTCTTGGGGTTGGCAAACTGCTGGGCTTCTCTTTTCCACTTTTATTTTTATCTCCCTTTTAGTGGGCAGCAGTTGGCCTTAGGCCACAATTCAGAAAGCTTCAATGTCACTGGCATTCCTTTGCTTCCACGCTAGACAACTTTATCTGGAAAACACAATTGAACTAGAAAGGAAATAAGTTTTGCCAAGTTAGAATATAGTAACAAGTGACTTTCTCATTAATTTAAACTCAAGTCTCATGGAAGTAAGATGGCTAAGATCTAGAGTGTTGTCACTCATCAAATAAATTTGAAAGCAGATGAAAGAAGAGGGCCTGAAACTCAGACTCAGCCTAGGGATTAGGTCACATTCTTCATATGCATGGGCTTTTTTAAAAAAAAATTTATGCAGGGTTCCTGATGCCTTTTAATGATGGTATGGCATCATTTTCCCTGCCTTTGGAGTTTCCTGAATAAGATTAAATTGGACAGACTTCTAGATTCTCCATTTTAAGATGTTTGTCTTAGAAGCGGCTGACTCATAAAATTTGTGCAAAAGCATAAAAAAAAATTATTGGACAAATGTGAGGAAGATGGGGAGAAAAAGAGAGATGAGAGTGGTCCCTTCTTCCATCACCACTGCAATTCAGCTACCAGGGCTTTCTCAATCCATTCTTATTAAAAAATTAAAACTAAGGGACTCTGATTAGTCCTTTTCCCATGATCTTTCTTTCAAATGATAGTTGATAAAATGAAATCACTATACTATAGAAATACACCAAAAGCAATCAAATTTTGCCTGTTTTAAATTTCTCATGTCAAGAAGTGAAAAATAAACATTGCATTTATGAGGAGTTTTGTCCATTAATATATTAATTTCTTCATAGACTTTCCAGAAGGTATCACATTTTAAAGTGTGTTTAAGAAAGTGAGAGTTTGGGTGGATGAAGCATCTTACAAAACTGGCTGAAAGTGGAATGTCCAATACAAACATTAGTCGCTACATCACTTGAGATGAAACACAGAATTGTGACTATAAAGTACTGAACTGATCTCAAAAAGTCACCCATGAAAATCAACCTCAACCCAGGTAGGACTTGATACTTCTATCCAACAAAGTACCTGAGAATCAAGAGACATGTGCCTAAAGGCACTTTGAAACCCTAAAACACTATCTTTATCATCATTTGAATGCATTTTACCATTTTTGATTGTTGTGCTGGTGATGGCTAGATTTTAGCCATCTTACTTCCTTAAGACTTGAATTTAAATGAACAGAATGTCACTTGCAGCTATATCCTAAATTTGCAAGATTTATTTCATTTCTAGTTTAATTGTTTTTTTCCAGATTACAGAATTTCTACTAAAGTATATATACAACATATGCTAAAAAATTGTGACTGTACTTCTTTGACCCCAATCCATTCATCTTGTGCACAAGAAAAATGTTTTGATCCCATAAGTAGTTTGGGTTCAGGGATTGGAATTCCTTACACTGAAAACCAAAGGTATGTTGTAGTACAGATGAAGGGAAATTATCAGACTTGATTTTGGCATTTCTTTGATAATTAGAAGATCCTGGAGTTGCTCCTTCACTGTTCTGCTCCCCACCTACACACTTTATTATACACTTTAAATCCTCATTGTGTAAATGCATTCGGGGCCTCAATACTTCACTAATATTGACACAGTATTTTTTGTCATTAGTTATCAGCAGAAACAGTACTTTGTGATTTATTTGAGTCTCCCATATATGAAGCTGTGATGGAATCTTCCTGGATGAATAAGCTGTTCTCTCTTCATTCCTTGATTGTAGAACATAACAAATTTTATTGAACATATTTTTGGGAACCATGTCATCTCCTCTGCTAGACTGTGAGCTTTTGAAGGGCAGATTTAGAATTTTGTATCTCCATCATCAAACACAGGCACTGAAACAGAGAGAAAGGCAAGAGTATGCCTGTTCTCCTACCTAAAAGATGTTCTGCCTATTTATATGATGTATCATAACTGTCTCTTAGAGTATAATGAGCATCACTTGTGAATTTCTTAAAGAAAACTAGACCAAAAAGCCAAGATATCTGGGCTCACAGTCCATAAGAAAATGTTTATGGATATTTCTAATTGTAGAGTATACTAAAGGCTAATTTATTATGTGGAGCATATTTTAATATCTTATAGAGTCATTATTGGCTGTTTTTTTGTTTTACTAATGAAGAAGAATAAATACGTTATCATGGTTTTCTGATATGCATTTTTGTTTGTTTTGTGACACTGGGATTAAGCTCAGGGGCTTACACATGCCAAGCAAGCACTCTACCACTGAGCTATATCCCTGGTCCTGGTTTTCTGATATGCTAAGTACATCTTTGATAAATTCCAATTCTGAGAATGGTGTCAACTAGACAATTCTGCTAATTACGAATGTCTACATATATTGGAAAGAACTGTTATTTGAGAAGTTGGATGCCTCAACAAAGAAATATATTTGTTAGAAAGAGATACATTTTATTTCAAATCTCTTTTACCTAGTAATATGGCATATGATAACAGTGTTTCAAACCAAAATGAAAATTAATATGGTCTATGAATGTATTTTTAAAAAATATAACCTTCTCTATCAGCTGCTTAGTGAATGCCAGCTCTGAGACATCAAAAATGTGATTAAAAAGAGTGTGTTAGTGTGTTATATACTTTTCCTTATAATGAAAAAATACAAACGAGTAAAAACAGTTTGCAAAATTAAATATATACTTGTATTCATGGTCAATCAGTACAAACTAATATTTCCGGTTAAAATTTTTTTCTCCTTCCTTTTTATCTCACCCAATTATAGTACATATATAAATCTTCTTTGTTATTTCCAGATTTCTATAACCTTTTTCCTAGAACATTACCCATGCTGCAATACCTGCCTTTAGTGCAGAAATGCAACATGAGTGGCACTGTTCTTGCAGGTCTCAATAGAATACTCAGTTCAAATGGCAGGAGAGCAATCAGTTCTTACAAAACACCTTTGAAAACTGGGCATATCACCTCTATAAGATGTAAGATTGCCAACATCCCATAATAGGAATTCCATGGCTACTTATAAATATGAATCTCAAAGAAATGTTCCAACAGTGCCTGTAAGCTCATAGGCTGGCAAACTATATGTTAATCCAATGCCTTACCATCCTCAATTTAGATTACTCTATTGTGCGTCTGATTAGTTATGGCCATAAATCAAGGAACAAACAATGGTGTGGAATAATTCCAAAAGCAATCAAAATGAAGGATACCCTTTTTAAAAAATTAAGCAGAAGTAAGATTAGTGATGTCATGCAGTTTTTGAGATATCATAGAAAAATCGTTTCTTGATATTAATAAGAAAATTATGCATCCGTGAAAATGCAAGCTTAGAAATATAGTACTGAGAGTTTCAATTTGTGGCATCTTCACTGATAAGGAAAAATGAAATTCTTATTACTAAAGAGAGCTGATGTCTTCAATGTTGCTGATGGCTCCCTAACTGAGCTTGGTGTTTAATGATGCTGTACAAATAACAAGCAGTGGGGGAAATACGAAATATCTGTATTAAATGCCATCCTGGAAAGTATTTGATGGATGGAAGAGAGTCTAATGCATTTTAAATAAATGCATATCATACTATCACATATAGTGAGTCTTAAAAAATTATTACTTAGATGCACAGTCCTTGTAGTGGTTGACATGGCACTGTGAAGGAAGTTTGATTTAGAAGCTACTTTCTATTATACTTGTCAAGTGATGGAGTTGCTGTTAGTCATATTGTAATGTCCCTTCAACTTTGGTACATTCAGTGCAAATTATTTTGGGGATTTTTTTTTACCTTTATAAAAATAAAAGGCCCTTTTGTTCCCTTGAGAGTGCTTAAAAGGATACATACTAGCATGATGCCCGAGTAAGCATGGAACATGAAAATGGAAAGGTGATACATATAGTATGATAGGTAGGTTCTTATATACATCTTAAAGAACATAAATATAATGAACCTATAAAAAAGAAACAGAACTCACTGTGTACATTTTTCCTGATATGCTGTGATTAATTGCTAGTTATTTTTAAATTGTTTTCATGCATTATAAAGCATAAAATCTGTCCATTAGTAATTCATTGAGTAACAGTTTGTCTTCAGCCGTAATTACACACATACCACTTGCATATACATTGTCACAAACCACCTTATTGTGAATCTTTAAAGTTACCTCATATTGACTTGGTTTCATTTTTACTTGTATCCCATGAAAGCTGAAACCTATAGTGCACACCATGCAGGCACTCATAAGCAAGAAATGAATATTGTTATAACTTAGGGCTTAAATGAATGTATTTTCAGGAAATATATTTGTTTTATTATATTATTTAACTTGCACTAATTTGGAGATTGGGCCAAGTGCTGCCAGTTTGGCTTGAACCACGTTCAAGGGTAAGTTTCAAGATTCTCCTGAGTCCCTAGAAATTGCCATGGAGCTGATCATGTACAGGTTCATCTTTGTCTTGGAACATAACAAATAGAAAAGGTTTGGCAGTCAAGAACTGTTGATTGAAAGACTGTTGGGTTGTTCCCTGGGCATCAAGCTCACCCAAATCCTTCCAAGAGGACTCATCACCAGTCCCCAAACGTGAGAGAGCACATGTTCCTGGAAACTAACAGCACTCAGCTTTACTCTAATGGAAGCCTGAGCTGGAGACTTCCAATGCTCAGTCATGCTGGAAGCCAGCTTCTGAAATTGCCTGTCAATAAAGAGGTGCTTCCAGATCACTCAAGTCCAAAGGTACTGGTCTCTTCAACTGCTGTCAGGAGCTTCTCATAAAGCATGGAAAAGGATGGGTACGGGGGCAGATCCAGGCGGTTAAAACAAGTATGAGCTCTGCAAACAGAACAAACAGTCCATGGTTAAAAACAAGTCCAGGGAAATGAAGGTGTGTATCAGTGTGTGTGCATGTACACATGCATGTTTTTCATATTCAGATTTGTTTGTTGGCAATTCTCAGACTTTTTTGGGAAAAACTTTGAAAATAGTTTGACTTTAAAGTCAGAATTAAGCTGGGCATTATGGCAAACATCTGTAATCCCAGTGGCTGGGGAAGCTGAAGCCTAAGGATCCCAAGTTCAAAGCCAGCCTCAGCAACTTAGTGAGGCCCTAAGCAACTTAGTGAGACCCTGTCTCAAAATTAAAAAAATATAAAGAGGATGGGAATGCCGTTCAGTGGTTAAGTACCCTTGGGTTCAATCTTGCTGGCAAAAAAGGAAAAAAAAATCAGATTTGGTTTCCCTAAGAGAAGTAGTATTTATTTTTTTTCCATTTTCACAACCGTTTAAAAGCTATATTACATATATATTATTATTGTTTGTTGAGTGTGTAAGAATTACAAAGGTTAGTTTAGGTTTTTGTTGTTCTCTTTTAGACTTTTTCAAAGACATGAATATAAGTCATTCATTTTCAGCACTGGCATTGGCCTGGATGTTTCTCTGAATCTGAGGTTTGGCATTTTTTCCCACTTTCTTGGGCAGGGAAGAGAACTAGATGTCTCTGAAGATCAGTCTCACATCTCAGAGTTTTGGGAAAGTCCTTGGCTGGAGTTTTCTATTAAAGTCAGTAGACCATTGTTACTTCTTTGAATCTTGCACCATAATCTGTCTTCTCCCCGTTCACAATGCAGAAAAATGGCCATTTAAATCACCATTACATTAAGTATTCTTTTTTAGAAATACTCCCCTTTGCCAAGATAGGAAAAAAAATGTTTTCCTGTTATTTGCACCTGAATCACAATAAAAAATAGACAGTCTCCAAATAGTACATCTTATCAGGAAGCAAATCTGTACTTTTGACATGGAATAGGAAGCATTTGATTCTGAATGTGCAACAGCTTTTCAGCTGAAGCTAAAACAATTTTGACTTAAGAAATGCTCCTGAATCAACACAAAATTTTAGAATCTATGATTATTAACAGGCTATTTCTAAAAGGTAATGTGCTTAAATTTTTACTTCTAACTTTTTACTTATAAAACAAATGTAATTAATATTCTTAAATGTGGGGTAGAACAGTGGGAAGATCAGAACTTTGGGAGTTGGAGAGACTTTGATTTATTTAAACTTTGTACACAGCTGTGTGATTTGCAGTGAGTTATTAGCATTCTGAGCCTCAATTTTTTCACTGGTCAAAAGGGAATAATATAACTTGTCTCAGAAGGATGTATTAAAGTCAAATAACAGAAAAATGCTTTACGAGGTGCCTGGTTCATAGTTCTTAACTAGTTAATAACACATATTTTTAGTTACATTTTTTTGTTATCAAAAAGATTTAATCTGCCTCCAATAAATTGCCAAAAGATAACAAGACCCACAGAAACCGTGAGACAATAAAGAGGTAATAAAGCAGGTATATGTTCATATAACTTACTAGAAATAGGAATGTGCAGGGTCTCTCTCTGTTATATTTTAAAGAATATCAATTTTAGAACATTGAAATAGTTTGACCTAATTTACTGATCCTGACACTACAGACTCTGAGATATACTGGAGGAAATCATCTACTAGTTGCAGTCAAGCACCTTTTTTTGGATACAATAAATATTTCAGAAATGCAGTTAATGTAATTCTTATTATACCTCCTTATACTAGAACCTAATTTTTAAAAATTCAATGAGCATATTAAAAGAGTCTCAGGAGTTTAAAATCTTATCTCATGGGAAACACTGGAATAAAAATATTAAGTGAAGACTTTAATCTCTGTTCTAGAGGGAGCTGAAGAAGTAGAAAAGTGAAATGTTTGGAACAGAATTATATGCCAGGCTATGTGTGACAGGTACACATTCATTATCCAATTAGGCTAAAATATGGTGTATCATTGTTATTTTTTTCATTTTTACCTTTTTAGTTATCAAAAGATTCAGTATCTTTCCCCAAGTCTGCTTACTTGTTAAACTGCCTGTTTTGTGATCTTTATATTCATTTCATCTTTTCTTTTTAATGTTTTTACTATGGCAAAATATACAAAACATAAAATTTACCATTGTAAGCATTAAGTGCATTTACATTGTTTGGCAACCACTATCATCAAGCATCACAGAACTTTTTCATCTTGTAAAACTGAAGCCCTAAACCCTTTAAACAATAAGTCCTGTTTCTCCCTTTCTCTGGCCCCTGGAACCTACCAGTCTACTTTTTGTCTCTATGATTTTTATTATTCTATGTACTTGAAACATTTGTCCATTGTGTCTGGTTAATTTCACTTAATATAATGTTTTCAAGTTTCATATCAGAGTTTGGGTCAGAATTTCCTTCCTTTTTAAGGCTGAATAATATTTCATTATACATACACACACACACACACACACACACCATTATCCATAAATCCATTGATGAACATGAATTGCTTCGACCTTTTGGCTATTGTGAATAATTCTACTATGAACATGGATATAAAAATATGTTTAAGTTCCTGCTTTCAACTTGTTTTGGGGATGTATATGCAGAATTAGAATTACTGGATCATATGGTAATTCTATTTTTAATATTTTCAGGAATCACCATACTATTTTCCTTAATGGCCATACTATTTTACATTCTCACCAATAGTACACATGGGTTGCAATTTCTCTATATCCTTGCCAACACTTATTTCGGTTTTTACAAAAATTTTACTTTTATAATAGCCATTCTAATGGGTGTGAAATGCATTCATCTTCTAAAGCCTTAGGATTTCTTACTGATTTGTACACATGCTAGAAAATAAAGAGAGACTCTATTACTGGATTTGAAGAAGCGAGTTGCTATGAAATTCACAGCTTTAAGGAATGAATGCTGCCAACAACCTAAGGGAGCTTGGAAGTAGATCTTTCCATAGTTGAGCCTTCAGATGAGAACACAGCCCAGCTATCACCTTGACTTCAGCCATGTGTGTCACTGAACAGACAACTCAACCAAGCAGTGCCTGGACTCCTGCCCCATAGAAAGATGTGTGTTGTTTTAAACCACTAAGTTGATATAATTTGTTTTGCAGCAGTAGAAAACAAGTAACAAGTTTCAAGGTCATGAAGCATCTAAGAAAGGTAGCAACTGTGATGATAATGTGAAACAGTAGAATTGTCTTTAAAGGGAAGGTGGCGAGGCAAAGCTGGTGGTAAGTAGCTGCCCTAAAATGCTTCTAGGTGTCTGAGCAAAGAAACAGAAATTCTGCATATTTCTTTGCAGTTCCTGTTATCTCTTTATAGGTACCATAGTGCATTATCCAGTAAATTCATGAGCTAGGGCACTCTTTTCAATTCTCAATACAAAGGGAAGTACTGATCAATCTTTTTCACTCTTCTTTAGTCATAAGATATAATCACCATTATTGCTATATAATCTAAGGTCATCACTCCTTCTTAAATTACATCTGCTTACATAACATATAGTTACCACAACACAACTTTCCTTCTGAAAAAAACTGAACAGCTCCTCTGGAAAAGGCTTCATGAGGATGGATGGAGACAGCATATACTGTGGAAGGGAAAACTGTGTGAAAGACTAAATGGTTTTCCCGAGGTCAAAGCTGAATCAGTGGCCAAATCAAGAATAAGACCTCAACTTTGGGTCTTCTAGGGAAAGTCCAACATTAAAGTGAAAGCAGGTGATTTTCTGCACACTGGCTCCATTCTTTTACTTTTGAAAGCTTGAGTGATAATTTCATCCCAGGCCTGACTACGAGCTGCTAGTCCTCAACATCCTACCTGGTTACATATGGAGAGGAATTCACAAAATAAGCTTCAGGTATTTTTTAAATGAGTGGTTCAATCTTAATATGCAGCAGCTCTGAGGAAAATGGTCAAGATTGGGTCAGTCCAGAAAAATCTTGGGAGATACCAGGGGATTTTTAAGTGATCAAACTATCTAGTTCAATCTCAGGCCTACCAGAAAACAGAGCTACTTTGGAGTGCTTTGGAATCAGCCAATGAGTTGTTTACAACAGGGACTTTTGTTTACAACAGGGACTTTTAGTTACACCCCTTGAGAAGATTTGGGGTGGACCTGGGGATCTGCATTCTAACAGTTATTTTAAGCAAGTCTGATATAGGTTGTCCCCACTATTGGAGAGACATCAAGTAAATTAGAAACAAGATATCTACATTGGACATGCACACCAACATTTTGTGTGCTTGCAAAAATTTCAAAACTGCTTATAAACAAGACAGTATTACTAATGAGGAAATTGAGGAAGAGTGTGGTTAAATGAATTGCCCAATATTTACCATCAACTTGCTATATGAGCCAAGAAAGGAATAAAAAGGCAAAACAAAACAAAATCCTCTGAGGCTTTTCACACCCTCCACCCCCACCCCATTCCATGTCCTAAGAAAACTCTAGTAGAAAATAACAGGAGGGCCCTTGGACTGTGTTGATATTGGCAGCAAAAGCCTGTCCAGCTATTCTGTCTCAGTAAAAGAACATTTTCCAAATCTTTCAAAGCCAGTCACACTAAAGTTTATAATGAATTTAGTTTTTTTTTTTTAATCTATCCAACCAAGACCACTCAAGGAGAACAGGTCTAAACACATCTTCAGGAAATCTTCTGGCATAAATATCAAGATGTAAAAACCCTCCATATATCTGGTCTGACTTAATAGATCTCATAGTGCTTTCTGAATCCTTCAAATGTTAACAGGGAGCTCATGTATTTATACCCCCTTTTTTCCCTGTAGATTGAAAAGTCAGTTATCCAAATCCAGTAAGCCAAAAATATCACAATTATATTTCCATAGGTCAGCTAATTGATTAATGTGCTGTTTCCTCTGTGTGAATGTATTTATTCATTTATTTCTCATTCTTCCAGAAGTGATTTCTGTGTTTAAGATTTTAAAATGAGAGGAAAGAAAGAGAAAATCATG